ATAAGTCGGATCTCTCGATAAGTCGGATAAAATCTCCGCCCCGATGAGTCCGACTTATCGAGAGTGACTATGTATAACGAAATTATAAGTCGATAGTCTAATTATAACTTCGCTATTGATGTGATAAACCGCAAGTCAATTATTGGTTGGAAACGTACGAGTCTGACCAATGGTGTTCTCTCTGGGTCGAGTTAATTCCTCCATCATTGTAAACAATGAAGCATGATATAATTTTTATCACACAATGTCAGCCCACCACTATTATTATTATTTATTATTAACCATCGCTGAAATTCAGGGAAGAATACATCATCATAGTTATCGCAACACCACAGCATGTCTCTATCCTTTGATGATCGCTTCTCCCTGGCAAGGTAGTAGCAAGCAAGGAATATTCTATCATACAATATTTTTAACTTTTTACGAGCTTTTTAATCTCTAAAAACATGAGCTAAAAATGTCTTCAATACTTTAATCGTTTTTCATAAGTGACGGTTCATGTTTCGTCATTTTACTTTGGCAACATTTTAGTGAAAAAATTTTAATACTATTTGAAAAAAAAGTCATTCTCACGGTTATTGAAATAGCGTAGCTTTTCCATAACGTATGTCAACACAATACCTTTTACAAAACTTTTTGATGCAAGCAAATTTTCGATGATGAGATCAGCCAAATAGTCATTGGAAATATTAATATACACAACTTTTTAAAATTATGGCAGTATCTTATTTATCAACTCCTTTTTGTGTTTTCTAAACCGCACTGTTTCTCCTTCTTAACGAAAAAAATAGTTCACAAATGTAAGCACCGCTCTAAAATTGAAAAATTACAATCACAGTGCTGTTGTGGAGTATGAATTGGCTGTCTATATCGTTTGTCGCAATTCCTAATTATAATATAATTGTGTGTATGAGAAATGACACTTTAAACTGTATAGTTAACACGTAAATTATTGAAAAACGGATTCGAAAACGGCTTATAATAAGAATCTAAATTTGTGAGGCCACATGCGTATAATAGAGAGGCAATTTCGTAGCAAGTTCCTCGACAATTAAAGTTGGGTTTAGGAACTGTAATTTCTACTAGTAAGTTTGCTAGTTGGGAGCAGATTAACTTTACACTATTTAACTGGAATGGTCCGCATTCCAAATTTCGTAAAACACACGAAAGCGCGACTTCAACGTATTCTCTTTCAGACAAATACCCTGGTTCGATGCACCAATCAATTCCATACGAAGCGTACCAACGCCGAAAGACGAAAACTTCCGTCTTCATTTAGCCAAACCAGACATGTCGTTGGTATAAGGTAATTACGAGGAAAAAACTGTTACTTAATATGACTTTACCCGTATGCCGCCCTTCTTGCTAGGTGGTTTGTCCTAGATTGACTTTTTAACCATTTAGAACCACAAGAGGGTTACAATGAAAATCGATTCCAGATACCAGTCTTGGACTTGACCGTCTCAGAAGGCGAACAGGTGGTTGGCTGAGAAACGGCTGAGTCTGCTTATGTACAGAATGGTAGAAAGACGGATCAAAACTGTATATTTTGCAGTATTTGAGAGTGATTTGTTTACTGGTGAGAGCTCGATTTGTTGGTTGACCCCGTGATATATTGGTATGCATTGTCTCTGAGTAAAATTAGTCATGGAGATGTCAATTGTGCTAAAACTCCACCTTAAATCAAATCGATGAGTGAGTGCTATTTAAACATTGTATTGATTTTGCTAACCTTAATCCTAATTTATATTTATTATCTGATCGCCAACTGTCTTATTGAATTCTAATATAATTTGATGTCAGTTCACGTGTATTATAAAGTACTCAAACCAAACAGCATGCAAGAAAAAGTATGTCGGGAGTAGTCAAAAAAATTTGATAATCTTTTTTTTGCTCAAAATTAAAATAAAAATTATGTTACAATTTCTTTACTGAAATTAATTTTAAAATTTCGATGTCAAAACCAATGGCTTTATTATAAATAAATTCTTTATTTTACTAACAGAGAGCAAGATGGAAGGTCGAGAAAATTCATCAACTACTGTTTTATGCATAAGATAACGATATGCTTTTAATCGTAACAGTTAGTTTAAGGTTAATAATTTGATAACGGGCAAGAAACTTGAAAAAAAACAAAACTTATCTATATGCTGAAAGATCCAATTGTGCTGTTAATCAGAAAATAATGGGTGCATTTGAAAAAGTAGTCAACAAAACCCTTACATAACAACGCGTAAATTGGATAAAAGCTTATACATAGGAAGTATTATCTTAGATAATAAACATTAACCAAATGTCTTCAGAGTTAAGAGCAGGGGAAAAAGTCATGTTTATTGTGATAATGCATTACCGCATAAGCATGGCACTTTTACAACAGAGCAAATCCTCATGTTCCTTGCAGTTTAAATTTGCCCGGAGAGATCAATTGTTTAGATTGTGGTTTTCAACCGTTGAGGAACAATCCAAAAGAGAACATTACAAATCTTTTGAAAACTGGGAAAGACTGCTAAAAACTTTTTATAAAGGTTTGACAAAATTAGTTTGAAAAACTTGTGAACTGTTTGCAAACTATTTACGTCTCTGAAATAAAATTGCGCGATTAAACCTTTTAGACACTCCGTTGTTAATTTAACAATACAATCAATTACAGTAATATATCATAACTATTTAGATTTCATAATTAGCTGCCGTTATTTAAAGTTTGCCATCAAGTTACTTGCTGTCATGATTATGACTTTTCTGCAAAAAGTATTTAATTGGCAGCAAATAGCAGGTAAGTTGTCATTATTGTACAATTACATGATTGTGATTACTAGAAACCAATACTTTTATTAATTAAAACAATTTACGAGTTATTATGAAATTGTCTTTCTCGTTCTTAACGACTCCTACGAGTGAAAGAAGTTACCCGAAATTAGACGCGTCAAAGACCGATGCGTCAAAATAGCCTACGTAAATACTAAGTTGCAATCATTGTATTAATAATCTGTTACAATATATATCCCGCTAGCTTGTACAAGTATAAGTTCTTTTAATTTGATATAAAATCATTACAGCACTATGTTTCCTCACTCTCTCGAAAAACGATTCTAATGAGATCGTTATCATGCAACCATCCACTAAACATACTGTCGTGGTTTGAGACCCTTTTTTTTTTTTCAAAGACGGGTTCATTGCATGGACATGACAGATGCATGATTATGCCCATTGGTTAGAATGTGTCCATTCCTATTACCTTTGATATTACTATAATTGATCTATTTTGTATAATTAAATGCCCGTGCCTCCACCGCCCATTTGTTCGTCAGTGGCTTTGAACAGAGAAAATCGAAATAACGTCATGATTATAAGCGCATGACATTTCTGTTTTGTGTATACAAGGTAACATCACACACACAAGCCAGCCCTCCAAATCCATATAAAATTAGGTGTAGATCAACTGGAAGTTTGCCGATCTCCCAAATTGATAATAACCATTGACAAGTTTTTTTTTCTAAATGGTCGAGTGAGGCGAGGTAAACAGGGATATGCGGGGAAATAGATGAGTTTAGCGATGACACCTCTTTTTTTGGTGACGATCACGAATTTAAAGTTGCGATAGTAATTGCAAAAATTGATAATAATACTTGTCATTTGATTAAACTGTGTTGCATACCATGGGGCTTACCCTTGGTCATCATCATCACCACCAACTTATTATCATCACCATCAACTAATACCGTGGCCTCATATGAAAGAACACAGCCACATAGCATTGTGATACTTTCGTTTTTTAAATTGCCCATAAGGGGCATAGTTAGCTTCATTTGGTTGCAGCAATGACAAATTGCATTTATTGTGTCATTTGACATATACTTACGAATGAGGAAACTTAATGACAAACAAAAAGGTAAATGTTTTAATTGTTTCAAAGCGAAAGAATTTGTCAAATCCCCTTGTTTGGCATAAGAAGAAGCTTTTTTTTATTGCTATCCCTCTTTCTTTTTTTTCTTTAATATATCAAGTTTTATTTTTTTTTATTATATGACAGGTGGCTTTGCGAAAAACAGGTTTTCTCTTTCTAGCCAAGCTTTCTCAGGATCGTCATCCAAACAAACATATATAAAATTTTTTAAAATGTCTGACAGTCACGCATCATGGCTCATCTACAGGGGAGGAAAAAAAAAAGCCCTTTTTGAACACAAAGCACCCTGAAATCCAAGTGACGGTTTGTATGGTTCTTTCTGGTGTGTGTGTGTGGGTGTGTGTGTGGTATGCTGGGGGTTTTCTGTACAGTGCTTCTTTTTTTTTCCCTCTCTTCTTATTCTTCTTCTCCTTCTTGTTCGGGATGATCATGCTACTCTTGCAGATCAGGTATTACGCCTATTGTGGGGCGTCGAGGGTTACCCAGATGCAAAGCAAAGCGATACATCAGCACTTAATTTTTTTTTCCGAATTCTTTTTACGCTGCCAATGTCTGATATTAGCCAACTTTGGCAAATGGAAAAAATGCGCCACTCTATTTGGCGATAGGCTATTGTTCGAAAAGGAAAAACGGATTGGTGCGTGGAAATGAAATTGTGTACAGCAGATCTATGAAACATGCGGGAATAGGGATTGGGAGAACGGGACAAGATGTGCTAATTATTTTTTGACACAATACCAGTGACGAACGATCGTTCTGTACGTCAATTCAATTAAACACAAAGATCAAATAAACAATATTGTCCATTGTCCTTTCTCTTCCCAATTTCCCTCTCCTTCCTCCTTGCATGAACAATGGTAAAACCCCACTCCATTTAATCACATCTCCTTTCTAATGTGATCATACTTTTTTTTTGTGAGGATAACAAGAAAAAAAAAAAGAGGCGGTGGTGTCATCTGTGTCTTGTACGTACTTTGCATATTCTTGAACTTTATTTCATGGGGGAAATACGAAAGATTTCCGTCAATGGGAGTTCATGACCGCGTTACAAGAAAAAAAACCGGATCTGTTTCGGAATAATTGATTAATTAATCAAACGTGTGTTCCACGTATAATGACATTGTAGTGGAAGTTAAACCTTACAACTAATATGGAATTAAGTTCCGGTTATCACGAAGATGATGAGGCTCTGTTGGGCATGTGTGGGAAGTTTCTTTAACATCTAGCCCGTTAACATGTCCGGATCGCGAACTGTTTTCACGTTATAGGAAGGGAGGAAAAAAAAATCAACAACAACTGTCTTCTTTCTACCAACGACATTCTTCTTTCCAATTCTTATATACTTTTCGTTTTTGCTTGTTTACAGGCTTTATGCCGTAGATGCTGTCCCTGGCAAGCCAACAGTTTCAGCAGGTCGACGCTCGCATGCCGTCAAATCCACGCCTCATTGAAAAGCTGAAGATCGAGAATCATATTAGACTGGCGATGGGCTCTGCGAACAAGCGACCATGTTTGGGAATAGTGACACAGCCTCCGGACTTGTTGGCATGAGGCTGGGATATGTGATGTTTTAAAGAGGGACAAGATGTGAACATGCGTCGAGGAAACGAAGAAAAAAAAAGTATATAGGCTAGAGCGGGAAACGATGTAATTCGCTATGGCAACGAATAATAAAGACGCGTGATTTGGCATAGAGTGTTAATTCTCATTCTTACTGTCATCCTTGTTCTTGTTCTTGTTCTTGCCCTTGTTCTTCTTTCCCTTTCTTCTTTCTCTCACTTGCTCCGACTATTTTCCCGTGACTTGCACTTATCAATCATAATCACCCCCATCATCAATCACATATGATTATCATTTTTATCACATTTTAATGTCCGACGCCCCTTACCAAATACGACCAACAGAGTTATATTCTTTAAAATCACAGCACCGGTCAACAATCACAAGAGAACAATGGGCCATTTACGTGGCTTTGCTAACCAAGAGAAGATATCATAATCGTAGTCAACTAAACCGAAAGTAAACGTACATAATTATTTGTTATTACCCCAGCTTTTAAGTTAATATCCCGCTATCGTATCATATCACTTGTTGCACCAGTTTTACGTTGCATACCTACTACAAGACTCGTTTTCCTCTTTTTCGCTCTCGCTTTCGTTCGCTCTCTCTCTCGCTCTCTCTCTCGCTCCCCCTCCTTGGCCTTCCCTCCCCCTTCTCCTCTCCTCAATTCAAACAATGATGGGTAACAATCCCGTAATGGCTTAGCTCAGTGTTGTAGGATGCAAGATGCTGTAAGAGGATGTGGAGAAAAAGTAAAGAGTGAAAAAATTTTTCACTGTTATTGCGTAACATGTAAACGTGAAACAAGAGCGGTGGGGGGGTGAAAGTAAGAGGGGGTGGAGGTAATTTATTATAGTTTATTTCCACATCTCAGTTTGACAATATAAATTTATCATTACGTGATTTAACTTTATTGCCTGACAAATTTAAATCCTTTACGTAATAATGATAATCAGTAATTATCGATGGTGAATCTTGTTCCATGTTTGCTCATCGATACTCATTGGCTGTATGTCATTATCATCGTGGGGAGGAAAAGAGACCGAGAATGTATTCATCCTCCGTTGGATGCCAGAAACGGTTGGACCCATTCTTTGTCTCTTTCATCTCTCTCGCCTTTTTTCCTATTTCGCTCACGCTTCTTGCCCTCTATCGTCTGTTCGTCTATCCCCAACGAAAAACTCATGTCATCTAATCTCTCTTGTCTTTTTTTTTTTTCCTCGTCCCGATCATCAAGAACACACACACAGGCTTATGGTGTAGTCATCGCGTAAGCCACGAACGGAAACTTTCGATAGAAGGAAGGAAGGCAACGACAAATGGTAGTTAAAATGATGGGATGATTACTGGGTATAATAGTCATATATGGTAAATGAAAAGCCATACGACACATATTATATTATGTCGATATCGATGCAACAGATGTCATTAGGTGATAAGATTAGTTTATTTGTTTATTTATGGGGACTCTCGATGTTTGTGTATGTAATCAGTCCTTGTACTTGTTTGTTATCAGATTCATATATGAATATGCAAACGTCATGTAATTAACGATGTGATAATGATATGGATGATTGATGATAAGACAATAGTCGATATTATTACTTACTCGTACGTACGCATTTTTATTTTGTATGCTGCCCATGCTGTCTGTCTTTTCCAGTTAATGCGTATCAGTGACAGGTGACAATTCGCAAGATATACATAAAGTTTGGGTAGTCACACAGTCACATACTTTTTTTTTTTTATATATTTAATTTCACGTGACAAGATATATCTATTAAAAAAACTGGAAGCATAATATTAAAAAAATAAAACGCCCAAATCAAAGTAAAATCTACGCTCATTGTGATGTATGCTATTTTTAAAATTGAGGCATAGCGTAAAAAGGGCTATTGTTTATGTGGTCATACATGTTAACATATTTATATACAATTGACAGCAATGTAAGTATCATTACACAACAAATAATAAAGTATGTTATGAGTATACTTATCCTATTATGTACCTACATCAACCGACGGGAATGATGATCAGGGCCTCAACAGATTTAACGGCAATGGACGTTTTTGACGCCTTGTGGAATAAAAGGGATGCAAATAGAATTCGAGAATACGAAAACGGTGGATGACAGTGGATGATTATGTTGCTCTGTGCGTCTCAACTGAACGTAGTGGCGCAATTGTCACTGAATGTCAGTTTTCACTGTCTCTGGTTATGGTTATCATTAAGGTAAAAATCACAAGTTTTCATATTTCAGACAGTATACGCAATACATAATGTACATATATAGCGACATATACTTCGCATAACCAACTTCACATAATACATTACATACGCACTACACATACATACATACACATTCATACATACACATTCATACATACATACATACACATTCATACATACATACATACATACATAAATATACATATCTGATAATATGCAATAACATTTACTCTTCTCACAGTATATGCACAATACTATATCTAATACTAATGTATTAAAGTGTAATACAAGTGTATATCAAAAATACAGCTTTTGTACGTCTTATATTATTTACATAGTAGAATATACTTGGTATCCCCAATTCAATTGTGCGCTTATATATCACTCCTCCTTTTCTTTTTTTTTCCTCTCTTTTTTTTTTCTGGTTATTGTGTTTGAACCTTTCCTAATGACGTTTAGTAGAAATAAGTACAGTATATATATGTGCCAGCCAATACTATTTTCCGTGTTCCCCTCCACATCTAAATATACTGTATATACTGTATCACTGTAACATGTAACCCCAAGAAAAAAACTAATCGAAAAATTTTTGATACCCTCTTTCCTATTGTCTCATCCAAACACTTATAAGATCCTCATCTGCGATTACTCCTGCCGAATCGTTCTGCCCTCAACAGCGGAAAGATACGAAAAGAATAAATTAAAACATAACGACAAAAAACTTCCAAGCACTGTAATTCATAACGATTATATCCTTATATCCATATATCCATATATATATATATACACATATATATAAACAACCTACGATAAAAAAAATTTACATTAAAATTTTAACACTCTAAGAAAAACCATAAATCACAATGTCTATGTTTACATTCGACCATCCTACTTCTAGCTCTGTTTCCACCATGACTCACAACACATCATCAACAACAAGTTCCACTACTACTCCTCCGTCAATGTCTCTTTCATCATCTGCTTTTTCACCCTCGTCACCCTCTTCTTCTTCTTCTTCCACCACTCCTCCCACCCCCACCACTCCCATCGCTCCTTCTCACTTACCATCCGACAAATTCGCCCCGTTCTACACTCCAGATCCACTCCCCTATCATCCGCTTCTCGACCTCCAACTGCCAGAGGGCCATTACTATTATTTTCCTCCTATACTGGCATTCACCCCCTCTCCTATACCGGGCGCCAGTTTGTCAGACGAAATTACACACGGAATGCAAAACGGAATGCAGAGCAGCGCCCTATCTAACGGAATCGCCAGTCAAATCGCCAATTCAATCGCTAGCTCAATTCCAAACTCAATCGCTAATTCAATCCCACCATTGACTCCAATCGAGACACCCGTTGAATCACCTCGCGAGGTCGACAGTCCAGAAAGCTGCCCAGAGATCGAGATTATCGATGGATTCACAAATACGGGAAGCGAATATGCACAGGGTTTGGATGTCAAGATGGAGTTGGGCGTGGACATGGACGAAGATGTTGTTGATGTTCCTTTGGGTCAATATGTCCAGTATTCTTCTCAAGGTAAGGATTGATAATTTATCTCGGAAATTGACATAGATAGGGCGTGTGGTTTTTCGAATGACTTGGAGAGGGGGGGGGGGAAGGGGGAGGGGAGGAGGAAGAGGAGGGTTCATGAGTCAAAATAATTAATATCGATCATGGGCTTTGTGAATTTATTCGAATGGTTTTTGATGTAAAAGAAAAAAAAATCTTATGTTTATATATAGAAAAAGTATGTAGTGAACTGTGTAGCTATTTCTCTCTCTTTCTCTCCCTCTTTTTTTTTTTTCTCTTTTCCTTCTCCAATCTACGAGAGCGAAACACATACAACAGTTACTCCCATTCCTATACTAATCGATCAATTGTATCTCTTCTTTCCCTTCTATCTTTCCATGTCATCCGCCTTCCCTTCTTTCATCTATACAACCACCCCTCCTCCTCAACCCAACTCTTTTTATAAACTCTCTCTCACCCCTCCCCTCCCTTTGCTTAAACCTCAGCCACGACACCGCTTACATCACCCCTTCATACCTGCTTCCCAACATCACCGCTTCACACCGATACCAATCCAACCTTCATGAGCCTATTAACATCGCCACCACTGCCGCACGATAAAGACGAAGCCACTGCAGTATATTCCTTGAATTCTAAGCCCGTTTTCCCACGTGATTTAGTGAGGGGATTCGAAGGCTTGCATGAAATGGACAGGAGAAAATCGTTTGATGAAGCATTTCTCAGAAAACTTGATTTGAAGCGAGAAAGGCAACGATGGGAAGAAGAAAGCGAAGAGGCTATGGAAAAGAGACGAAAATCTCTGCCTACTGAGTTTGGGTCGATGTTTAGTATTAATAGTATATGCTCGATTTCTGGTCAACAAGAGCAACAAGGTCAACAGCAACAGGGCCAGCAGCAACAGCAGCAGCAGCAGCAGCAACAACAACAACAAGGCCAACAGCAACAGGGCCAACAACAGGGCCAGCAGCAACAAGGCCAGCAACAGGGCCAACAGCAACAAGGGCAGCAGCAACAAGGCCAGCCAACGCAAACCCCGCAACAAGGACATCAATCACACGCGACTCAACAATCTCTTCCACCCACTCAAAGAATTCGCAAACCATCCAAACCCGTAGCGCCATTTGCCTGTCCCCACGAAAACTGTCCAAAGACATTTACCCGTCAATACAATCTCAAGTCTCATCTTCGTACTCACACCGATGAACGACCATTCGTATGCAACTACTCGGGATGTCCTCGCGCCTTTGCTCGACAGCACGATCTGAAAAGACATCAAAAACTGCATCTGGGTTTAAAACCGCACGTTTGTCGAAATTGCGGACGCGCATTTGCCAGATTAGATGCTCTAAACAGGCATTTGAGAAGCGATAACGCTGCGCAATGTGCTCAAAATGTGAGTGGTATCGGAAGGTTCAGGCCTGGTAGGCTACCTGGTAGAATGTAAGGGATTGGAACGTGGAAAAAAAAAGTTTTGGTTATTTTTCTTGTGTTCTGTTAGTATGGCAGTGTTATTATCAAATAGAAAGAGGGGCGTTTGTAGTGACGTTGTTTGTTTGTATCTTTACAATTTCTGTTGACGGATTTTGCGTTTCCTTTTTTTTTTTTAACATTCCTATTTGAAAAAAGTTGGAGCAAATGATTTTCATTTTCATATTAAAAAAAAAACCAACAAAAAAATCACTCACTCACACAAAAATTATCATTATTTTTACCATTTACTTTTTCTTTTTTTTTCTTTTCTTGTCAAATTCTTTGTTTATTTTTTGCTTGATATCTATAAATATATAAATACTTCGTGATTACTTTGTACACTTTTTCAACCCTTCAAACCATTTCCACTATTTTTATACTTTTCGATATACAAAGCAATTTCAAAAAGCGAGGTTTTTTTATTGTATTATATTTTTCTTTTCAGTTTTCTTTTTTATTTTTTCGTTCATTGTTTGTCTTTTTTGTATATTTTGCTCCAATGATTTGTACATATTTCTCCCGAAACCGTGGCGAAGAAAGTTTAGAACACGGGAAAGCCATACGTTCAATAAAAAAGTGTCTAGAATCTGGCTGTCTTAACTTATTATTATTTGCAAAGTTTCTCTATTATTGCGGCTTGGATTGCATGCAGATTAGGGAGGGAGAGAGGGATTGTTGTGTATTGAACGAGCTTTAATTACAATGGTTGTCAAGAACAATTGCATTTAAACAATGTGACGCAAAGCCTCAATATATGCTTTAAAAAAAATACGAGAGCGAAATGACTTTTTGGTTAGACCGAAAAAATTTATCTCCAAGCTAACTAAAAGATACAATCTACTAAACAAAATCCTGATCTCAACATCCAACCAATTTCGAAATGGATTCTTCTTCTTCTTTTCCTTCGTCGACACTGCCGCAAGCAATCATTCTCCCTGGCAACGCATGTGAACATCCAGAATCGGCCGGATGGTATCCGTATGTTGCATCAAAGCTACGTAGTGCTATTCACCGTGAAACACGTGAACTGTTGTTTCCGGGCGGGGTTGTGTTGAGACAGTTTCCAGACTTCTACGTCGGGAGAGAAAATATTTGGTTGCCTTTCCTGGTACGAAATGTCAATGACAATATTATTTTATATAGAGTCACATGTATGTGCTTTGACTTGGTTTAAAATTTTTTTTGTGGCTTAGGAAAAGACCTTAAATGCAGGAGCTGAACATGTGTTGATTGGGCATTCTACCGGGGCTGTGGCGGCGCTCAGGTAAAACTTTAATAACAATATTGGATTCTTGGTTATTATGTTTAAACCAGTAAGTCGAATATTCCATATTTGTAAACTGCACTGTTTGGCTTATCTCGTTGTTCGTGGGGGGCTGTGACTGTGACTGTGTACTGCGGTGGCTTTGCCCATTAGGTACCTCGAGTCTCATCGTGTCTTGGGTGTGGCTCTTGCATCTGCTTATCATACCCATCTTGACGATCCTAATGAGGTACGTCCATCTTTATTCTACATGTAAAATACGTAGATATCACCTTCTAAACCGGGGTTAATTTATCTTTTCAACTATTGATCTGTTCTGCTATAGCGTGAATCAGGATATTTTTCCAGGCCTTGGGATTGGTCAAAAATATCCCAGAACGCAAACTGGATAATTCAATTCAGCAGCAGCGATGATTACGCGGTTCCGATCGCTGAACAGAGATTCGTTCATAATCAAATTAAATCGCATTACCGCGAGTTTACAGATCGTGGCCATTTTACGGGCAGTAGAGAGTTTCCCGAACTCGTTGACACTGTTTTGGAATTCATGAATGGCGTTTTGCCTGAGGAAGAGTAATCGGGTTTTCGGACAAAGAGTAGGGAGGATGACGCAAAATAAAGTGGCTGAGAATAGTGATTTGTGTTTATATGTGGATAAAATGTTTTATTATAGTTGCAGCGCATATATACACAACTTAGTTTATATACACTATACAATATTATACTTTAAACGGTATTAGTAATGTATGCAGGTGCACTTGTATTTGTGTCTAGCATTGTCCATGTGACTGTTTGACTATTACAAAAAGCAATTTTAATTATTATGACGCCACAACACGCGTAGAAAAAAAACCAAGATTGTACATTTCAAACCCTGAACACAGACATGTGTGATGAATTTGACAGTTCACTCGACGCAATCATAGTTAGCATGTGTGTGCTGTACTGTGCCACGCTGTGCCGAGCTGTGCGCGTGCTGTCAGCTGTTAATGCACAGTTTTCCCTGCCCGTATGCGGCTGTGAAGAGAGAATACAGTACAATACAATATAATATAATCAGAACCCCAAAGTTACCCTGCATGACAATCAGTAATCAAAACAATTCGCAATGTCACGTAATTGGTCTAATCCTTTTCGCTCGTTAATTTACTGTACTAATGCAAGGGATTCATTATACCATTGTGGTGGACAGGTAAGGTAGTTTTATTGTTGAGGCTTAGCTCGAAGACGTTGGTCGGTAACAAATGACTAATCAGTGTGCAAAATAAGCTTAATAATAACAAATTCACATGTGGCAGAAGTACTAAACATAATGAGTTGAGGCCCTTACATTGTTATTATACAATAATCGTACTACAGACTAACTTACAGTGGGTCGGCTAGCATTTGGACCAAGTGAGAAGGACGCGAACCTACGAAAAGTTCTAGTACACAGTCCGTTTTCTATGAGTTATGTTTTCGCTTTCCATTGAACTTTTTATAGTTGTTATAAAAGAGTCGGTTTAAAGCAAGTAAAAATAACCACATCGGTTTACTGAACTGGTGCGTTTTTCAAGGATGAGAGCTGTACCTATAAGGCTTACAAATTTTAAACCTTCGTTTTACAGACCCTGTAGATGGCAACACTAGAAACGAAAGAATAACAACAAAAACATACTACAACATATCAACTGATGCTTAATAATTTTGTTAATGAATTTTTTAACAGACTTTTGCAATTACCCATCACTTAATTATTCAAATCATGTATGGTCGCTTGGGAAGAGTGTGTTCAATTAATTTAGCACTAACTACAGCCTTGCTAACGTGCTCGCTTAGCAGAGGTATCGGTCAAGGTCAAAAACAAAGACAAAGGGTATATACAGTATTTCTATCGCTGGACTAATCTGTTGTTTAGCACACCCTTCAAACTGTTTAATTTGGTCTAAAAGAGGAGTTTTTTTCTCCAGCAATAATTCTGCCGCTTAGAACTTTCGAACAAGAGAAAAGCTATACCAGAACAACGATACTATCTTAATTTATCATTGGAAACACTTTTAAATTTTCTTCGACCATTCTATACTGACTGTAGTCTCTTAGTAATCAAACACACTATTAACATATAACACAAAACAGAATTTTACGCTCTTTGTATAATAATTACCTCTATTAGGTTAAAAGGCTGTACGAGTATGATTCGATTTATCGTAGAAAAAAACTTTAGACTTTATTATTAATGGTTATCATAAAAAAGTGGTTTGTTTTTTTTTATTTTAAAGCAAGAAAAGAAGCAATTGGAAAAAGAAAAAAAAGAATTAGAGGAAAATTAGCCGCCAAACTTGTAATTGCCGGAAGAGAAGAATGATGTCCTACTAAACTTTTGTATGCCCCTCATCAATCTCCCGAAATTTTTCTGTCGCGCTTATACCATCCCTTCTATTGCTCTCACTATCACTATTACTCAATTAGTTTGTTGCGGCAACGTTCATAAATTAATACTCTTTTTCAATACTTGCAAAGCACATTTGAAGAGAAAATTTTGCTTGTTTTGTCCGAGCGATATTAATTATAGCCATTATTGGTTTTACTATGTTTTTATTCAACGAATTTATCCAGCCATAAACAATTCGAGTGAGCAATCTTTGAGTTGGTTGACTCTAATTTACATTTGGACAAGTAACTCTTTAAAGCTATTCTTAACAACTAATAAATGTTATTATAACATGCCTTTCGTAGTCTAAAGAGATATCATTATTTAAATCTAAGCCAGTTCAGACTTTTGCACTTTTTTTACAATTATTTGAGCTTTGGACTGCTTTAAATGTGAATGCTAGAATCATTATAACAATTTAAACTGTAAAATTTAAATTTACACTGAGATTTGCTAACTTGTCCCGGACCGAGACAACTGAGTTCCGGACAGGGTATCTGGGTTCTGAACTAAAACAGGTTTTTTCTGAAATTTGACACAACATTTACATTGGTTAGAGTGATGAATGAGTCTATTAATTATACTCTACTTAATGGCTTATGAGTAGAAGAATATCCTTCACACATAATTAACTTTACGTTTTTATTTTATTGATCTTACCAAATTGGCTAACGGTTTATCATCAACGTTGAATTCTATTCTCGACTACAACGATAACCTGCGCTAACTTTCTATACTTTTAAGTATTTTTCCTACATCGTTCCTTTTTCTGCCTAAATGCCATGAATTTTTTTTTTTGAATTTTGGGCTGAACTATGGCAGGCCTCGCGCTGTGTTTTTAAACCTAATCAAGATCTTACTGTTATAATCGAATCTGACATTAGAAACTAGCGTTGAGCAAAACAAAATCGAGGCTGTTTCGATGCTTTAAAAACAACCGTAAGTATACTAATAATAAGGATTTATGACAAAAATAATTTATACTGTATAACGTATACGCGCTTCTCCAAGTTTTTGTACACCTCTACATATCAAAAATCCAATGTTACGATTGTTTAATAATCCATTACCAATGCGACAATGACATGGAATTTCGGCATTATCTCATTAACATATTGACGTTTATTTCAAATATCGTCTTATGAACAGAGAAATTATTGCTGGAGGTTTTACAAAAGAACACGTAAATTGTTTGAATCTTCTTTTTTTTGGCGAGACGTTAACTTGATTAAGCAATAGAGTTTTTATAACACAGTAAGACTATGATATTGAATGTGTATTTTACTCTGTCTTTTGTTGCTTGTGTATAGTTACTGTATGTCATCTTCGTAAAAATGCTTTACCAGTATAAAATCAACGTTTCAATAAATTATGCTTGTTACCGAGTCCATGTCATTCCATGGCAATCGTCTATTCGACCAAGAGATTAGTTTATTCAACTCATATGATGCTAGCGAGTACACAGTATCAATTACGTAAACTCAAAGCCCAGGACTTTATATTAGAGAGTAAATCCGTAAAAATAGAAATTTCTGATTTGTGAGTAATAGGCGATGAGTGGGCAAATTGGACCCTTCGTTTTATTCGACCTAAAAAAAAAAAAGCAACACGTGAGAATATAAACCGCACAAGAAGAACGAAGATCCCTGTTATAGTTAATTTTTGGCATCGCTTGAAAGCAGGGGAGAAAAAAATGACCACTATAAATTTGAATTCCCAAAACATTAAGTGGTGTTACGTTTTTCGTGACTTGCAATTTTTCGACGAGCTCGAGAGGCCGAATTAAAGATGATTCTGCAATATTATGATGTCATGCTTTATGAAGAGGTACCCAAAGGTGCGTATTATATAAGATGACGAGCAAAAGTATTGACTTTTACGTTTTGCAGGACGTATTTTTTCTTTCTGATGATCAATGGCTCAACGATACTTGTATCGAATTCTATATGGAGTGAGTGTTAAGTAGAGCTTGCCTTGCTAATCAAGACGATAGTATGAAATTTCGATGAATCTCACATTTATAATCTGTAGATACTTGGAACGTACGAAACTTTTATCGATTAGAGGTTCATCCGTTCTCCAGGTATTCTTATTACGTCCAGCCATTACCTTTCTAATCACCAACTCACCAGGTAGTCCAATAATCGGATATGTTTATCCTTCGTGTGTTTAACAATGTCACCGACCATTCCATCATGTTTGACAGATAAATCAGACCTATCCTCAGCCATACCAGCTCAACTGACTGTATCGGACGTCATATTTATGCCCGTCAAGTTTGTATTATATGTTGACAAGGGTTCACCTTTACGCTTACGGTTTAAAGAAAGTGATGTTCTATTCTTGAAGCTTACTAAATTTTTGCATCGTATAATTTCAATTTACATTTATGAAATGATGACAGTAATAATACGAATCTTGAACTTGCGGGAGGAGGATCGCACTGGTCATTATTAGTATATGTGAAGTCGATTAATAAGTTTCTCCATTACGATTCCGCCGGACCAATGAACATGTCATATGCTAGGATAACAGCGAAGAAGGTAGCAAGAAGACTTGGAATCAAAGGTGAGGAGAGATTGACTTTTAATAGTATACCAAATATTTTTATTACTGAATGTTCGTTTACAATCAGATTATGAAGTGATTGGGATGCACTCTCCGCAGCAAAAAAACGGTAAGCATGTTAACGTAAAGCACTGGCAGAAGGTTTTGTATTCAGTTAGAATTAACAATCTCTTGATGTAAAACAGGATCAGGTACTCTTAATCATGGCCCAATAACCTCTTTACGACGCCAGCCTATTTACTAATTTATTGTCACGCAGACTGTGGTGTATATGTAGTCGCAATAACAGATCACTTGACTCAGCGGCTTCTTAATATCAATCCAGAAACATTCTCTCCGCTGACTGATTTAATTCTCGCGCCAAATGATATTCCAGCCGCTTCTTTCACAAGGAAGATGATGCGATCTCTAGTAGCCAATTTGGTTAAGAAGAGTAGAGTATATGAATGATGGGATCGAATGCGTGTGTATAATCCACTTGTTCTCGAGTGATTACACGTTAATGTAGAGCGCGAAATCTCGACTTGCTTAACCTCACATCGGACACTGTTTGTCATCTTTGTAGGCACGATAGTTGATCTAAATAGCAATGGTCGGATAATTAGTTTGTATGCAAATTTTATAACATTGAAAGGCAGGCACTATAAATACTCTAATTAAATTCTGAAGTGAAATAGTTTGCGTCATGCATCAATGATTACGTCCAGTGATTTTTGGTGAAAAACTAGAAGTTGTCTGGTTATCCGAAGGCCAGTAAGTCATGCGGTACGTGCTAACGTGTGGTATTACGAATTCAGATCCATCTCAAAACCTAGATTTTATACTCTCGCCTAATGAACACGTGAAATAAGTGTAACCACAACGCGTGTTATATCCTTCAATTCTCTCGCATTCCCCTTCACTATTACTTAATTTACTGGCGAATATGACTTCGAACCGCAGACTTGCACGCATGCCACCACATTTAGCTCTCACTGCCGGTCAACTTGCAAAACTGGCCTTGTACCCGAACGGAGGAATACGTACTACGAAGGAATTATTAGAAAAGTCGAAAATTGAGCTGGTAGAGAATTGTGATTTGGATGGTGAAGTCGTTGAGGACATTATGAAGAAAGTCTCTAGATGGATTGCGCCCAAGAGTGTTACGGTAAATATGCTTTTATGGCTCGAGAATCGTGTTAGGATTGGCTCCCTAGTGGAAACATTTGTTAATTTTGTTAACATGGAAAAAGGGCGCGTTTTACTCTTTACATGTTATGCCAATTTATGTTTATGTCGTTCGCACCGCTCAAAAAGCAGTTTGACTGAAGTTTTTATGTGATTGCTATGCTACTGTTTTAATTATTACTTACAAATTCTCTTCTCGTCTTGCCTTTATGGACATAATTTTTATGTGCTTACTCTTTAATTTCCTTATATCCGCGCTAGTATTTCTAGGTCCTTTCACTTCTTTCCTCAGTCTCGTTTTCTCCACCATTCTTCACGACATGTATTCCCCATCTAGATACTGCACTTAATGGAGGGATACCTTTGTCGTCAGTGACCGAAATTGTAGGACCTTCACGATCGGGCAAAACGCAATTTTGCATGACAATGTCGGTCATCGCCACGATGCCGTGTGAGAAGGGGGGCTTGGGTGGAAGTGTTTGTTTTATCGATACCGAGGGAACTTTGGATGTTGACAGGTGAGAAATTACGTGAAGCACAAGCACCGTGTCTCGTGACTAATGTCAAGTTTTTAATGTATGATTTGGGCATTTAGACTTGTGGAAATAGCGAGCAATCGTTTCCCTGATTATTTCAACCCTTTAACACCTAAAGGCAAATCGAACCTACTCAGAATGACCCAAAATGTTCATATAATGAATGCTAAATCGACTCAAGAAGTACTACAAAGGTGGATAACGCTTAGTGATGTTTCTTATTGAATTACATTTTTCCGTTAACGCGCATTGATTCATTACAGCTTGGAAGGTCTCCAGGAGTTAATAATTACGCACAAAATTCGTCTCGTTTTGTTCGATTCGGTTGGGTACATTGTTAGGAAAGAATTCAATAATATGACAAACGAAATGAAAGACCGATATAGCAGTCCGAGTTTGATGGGGCGTAGTGACATGTTAATACGAGAATCTGCCATGTTAAAGTATGAAAGAGATGCCTGGAATTTGTTTTGCTTTTCGTGGTGAGGTTTGATGTGTGCAAGTACGATGTGGATGTGCTAAGATAAGAATTGCTGTATCCTAGATTTTTGGCCGAATCGTTTCGTATAGCCGTAGTCGTAACGAATCAAGTGATAAACTACAGCAAACCTCACATGATAAGCACTAGTAGCAATGCACGGAAAAGATTATGTACACGAGGTAAAGAAAGATTTCGTGTGGCTGCTTGTCCATCTATCGTGCACTAAGATTAGGCAATTGTAGCCTACGTTCTAACACATGTACTGTATTTCTATGTGGTTTCTTTTGAAGAAACAAATAACTCGTATCATGTGACTTCAGTCCTAGGCAGTGGATGGGCGCATTCTATCACGACACAGCTGACGCTTGAATGTTTTGATAGTCCTGTCGGTGGAATAGGCAAAAACGACGCGACAGAAAATGCGAAAAGAATTAAAATATCCAAATCGCCGATTGCACCAAGGAAGAGCTTTTATTATGCTATTGATAAATGTGGAATTGTTGAGCTTGATCTGGAAACAAGTAATGAGGTGGACTCTGTTGTCTAATTGGTTCGGTTGGCACTGTTCAAGCTGCTAGTTTTCGAAGACAATATTCTATAATGCGATATATACGGTATACTGTATATCTATTTAAATGCCCGTCATCAGACGATATAGTTTATTGTAAAAGGAAAAAAGCGTTAACTTTGTATTACCACAATATCTGTATAATAATATAGGGAGTGGACATAATAATTGTAATATCCATCGTCTGAACACGTTTCAAAAATTTCTAAATCGATTTGTATGGTTTTATATTAAGTGAACGGCATAATTGCGTCAATTATTAACAACTTTGTATTTACTAATAAAGCCTAGTAATGTGTCAGTTTCTCTTACGAGCAGCTCAGTGCTTGTCGCAGTTGCAGGATGAGTGTTGGTGGGCTTTGGGATGATTAGATGCTTAAAAGTGATAATAGAATATTATGTTTCAAAAAGGTGGATATAAGTCTGGTAAACATAGATGATTGGATTTTGATTGTTGTACGATTGTTGTACAAATGTTGTCATATGACGTAGCCACGGTTGATTTATTAAAACGCTGCGCGTCGCGTGTTATCTACTCTAAAGTTCCCACGCGATATCTACTCTCTAAACTTACAGCAAACATGGCTTCTACCATTTTAAGCTTACTCTTCGGTTTATACCATAATGAAACTGACATAGATCTTGAAGACGGACGACAGATGATTCAAGAGTATCAACGAGCAGCAGAGCAAGGAAATGCTGATGCACAATATCTTCTTGGTTTGTATTACCTAACTGGAACTGTAGTAAGCAAAACCGAAACAAAAGCCTTCGAATGGTTTGAAAAAGCAGCCAGACAAGGACATGCTCCTGCACAAAATAATCTCGGTTGGTGTTATGTAACTGGAGTGGGAACAGAAAAAGATGAAAAGAAAGCAGTTGAACTGTGTCGACAAGCAGCTGAAAAAGGCCTTGCTCAAGCACAACATAGTCTTGGTCAGTGTTGTAGACTTGGAGTTGGAGTCGAAAAGGATGAACAGAAAGCAGTCTATTGGTATCAAAAGGCTGCCGACCAAGGTTTTTGTGACTCGCAATTTAACCTTGGTTGGTCGTATGCCAACGGAAATGGAGTAGAGATAGACGCGAAGAAGGCGGTCGAGTGGTATCAAAAGGCTGCTGAACAAGGCGATGCGGCAGCACAAACGAATCTTGGTATGTGTTATCAGAGCGGAATTGGAGTAGACATAGATGAAAAGAAAGCGTTTGAATGGTACCAGAAAGCAGCTAAACAAGGTAATGCTGGTGCACAACGTAATGTCGGTGTCTGTTATCATAAAGGAATTGGGGTAGAAAAAGATGGAAAGAAAGCAGCTGAATGGTATCAGAAAGCGGTTGATCAAGATTGTGTTGAAGCACTAAATAATCTTGGTTGGTGTTATGATTACGGAACTGGAGTGGAAATGGATAAGAAAAAAGCCTTTGAATTGTATCATAAAGCTGCCGGGCAAGGTTGTGTTGCAGCACAGAATAATGTTGCTATGTTTTATGCAAGCGGAATTGTAGTCAGAAAAGATGAAAAAAAGGCCTTCAAATGGTATCAGAAGGCCGCCAAAAATGGTAATGTTTCAGCACAACATAATCTTGCTTGGTTTTATGAGCATGGAATTGGAGTAGAACTGAATAAGCAGAAGGCAACTGAATGGTATCAACGGGCAGCTAACCAAGGTTTTGTTGGATCACAGTATAATCTCGCTACGTGTTATGATCTTGGCGAAGGGGTACAAAAGGATGAACAAAAGGCTGCTGAATTGTATCAAAAAGCAGCTGAACAAGGGTTGGCGCTTGCACAATATAATCTTGGATGGTGTTATCAGTTTGGGACTGGAGTGGACAAAGATGAACGGAAGGCCGTTGATTGGTATGAAAAAGCTGTTGCACAAGATAATGCTGATGCCCAATGTAATCTTGCTCCATATTATGTGAGTGGAACTATAGTACAAAAAGATGAACGGAAAGCAGTTCAATTGTATAGAAGAGCAGCTGAACAAGGTCTTGCTAGTGCACAATTCAATCTTGGTCGGTGTTATAAGAATGGAATTGGAGTAGGAAGGAATGAACGAATGGCAATGAAGTGGTATAAAAAAGCTCAAAAGACTATTAAGCAAATGGGCAGTAATGGTATGGCGCAATGCACACTTTTACATAAAGAGAATGAAAGGCTTTATAAGCAATGATTGTTTATGTTTATGTGAAATCAAATTTGTCACAAATTTGTTAGTTTATCTTTTTACAAAGATTATTTTTTTAGTAGTAGTATGGTAGGAGGTTCCCAGTACGATGAACCTTACAATCATTTCTTTCTACAGTTAATATTAATTCAATCATGTGAAATGATCTGATTTGATCTGTTGGATCGCAATTTATACTAATATTGATATGCATTTTTACATATATCACCTGCTTTTAGCTCAGTAATTGTGATATGCTTACTGTTATCAGGTTTTGTAACAAAAATGCTTGTTCAAAGAAATACTGTATAAAATAAAGATATATGACATTGTTGTCAAATCCAACGAATCTTTTAATGACGACATAAAATATTATATAGACTAATTATAATTGTAATCTTAATGTTCTACAAATCGCCATGACGTTGTATTGTACTGTACAGCGAAAGACTAGTGAATGGTTAAAATGCGTAAATATACAAGCTTTTATAATATTGTGAAACGCGCACATCCGGTAAACAGATAGTATTCGCAGGATAGTAATACACTCACTACCAAAAAGTATTGGCCGAAATTTGTCGATCAATAGTAAAACATATGAAAAATCCAATTTTTCAA